ACCCTGGTTTCTGAGACTGTAAACTTTGCAGGAGCAGAAACCCTCATCTTTCTCCCGCAGAACCACTTGTAGTTTGGAACTGCTAACCTTGAGATTAGCAGCCCAATTCGTAACTATTACACTACCAGACTGAATAAGAGCAAAGAATTCCCTGTAAAACTAGGTAATTTCTTCAGTTATCCTAAGTGCATTGGACCACTATGCCCTCTAGTGGTCACTAGAGGAAATCAGACTGCTTAGCACTGAAGCTTGGTGAGAACACGAGTAGATCCCCTACCACCATGGTTACCATCACCACCACTTCACTCCTTGGCCCAGAATCAGAAATTCAGGATAAAACTACCTATATTGTGTACTGTATGTAATGTGAAATTATTGAGTTGCATGTGAGCTTCATTACTATTCATTACAGATGTTTCTTAAATTTGTTAACTGCCTGTATGATTTTCTAAAGCCTATAGATCTCTTTTCATAAACAAAATTGGGTACCCGAACTTCTGAGCTATATTATAAAGTGCAATTTTGATGTCAATTCTAATCAGATCCCATCAAGAGTTAAGAAAGATTATATTTCCTAAGAGACACAATCCTTGTGATGGATGTTCTACAGTCTATCCGATGACTTCATGACACAGCAATCGGCTTCGACTCACAGAACCTTAGCCCATTGCAGGTTGGCTGTCCACTAAAAAACTGCATTTTAATTTCATTTCAGTGTCTACCAAAGGTTGATAAGAAACATCTATATGAATTCTATACGATCTCAAAGATCATAGAGACCAAGTTCAATGATCTTCATTAAACTGCCCACATAGTATTTATTTTCACACCTGACTGACTGTCAGGATCGTCTATGGTATTTTGCTAGTCCTGATTTCGGAGAACCAGATCTGTCAGTACGTATCCATCACTGGAGATTTGGGGAGGCTGCGGGATGGATTGAGGTATGCTGCGGGGAGGGGTAGGTGAGCAGCAGTGGCAGGGGTCCCTGAAATGTGTATTTTTAATATGTCCCCATGCCATGCCGAAAGGGTTTTAGAACCATCCCATTGCCTGCCATGCCCTAGGTTAGACCTCGCTCTCATAATCTAAAACCAGAAAAGGTATTATTCTTTACTGGAATGGTATAAATTCATTTTAATTCAAGATATTTGGGTATAACTTGTTCTATTTTCCTCCTTTTTAAAACCAGGGAGCTCAAAACTATGCTTTATAACCATATGGTGTGTCACTGTGGGTTAACACATTGGATGGCAAAGTCTGTTTGAACCGTAAGGTCGGCAGTTCAAGCTTACCAGCAGCTCTTTGGAAACCCTATACAGGGTGATTATGGGTCAGAATCAACTCTACGGCATTTAACAACAACGATATAACCATAAAATCATAGCAGTTTGGATGATTACAGCAGTTACTTTCTCCATTTAACAAAGTCGTTTCTCTTTACCAAGGCTTTAGATGAGTTCATTCTAGTTCAAGACTATTGGCTGAGAATTTGCAGTTTTTTGTTGTTTTTTTTTTTGTTTGTTTTTTGGGTTTTTTTTTTGCGCTTTTATGGTTTTATTTAGCACAAATAAAACTCGAAAACAGGCTGTCTATTCATTTTCTTGGCTGCGCAGCCTGGCATTGGGATTGGTGACTCTGATGGCCAGCTGAGCTGCTCTTTCCACAATAGCTTTCCAGTTCTTGGAGGAGACATTGTGAGCAATCTCTGCACAGTCAGATTTGTTGCACATCAGCAGCACCTCCAGCTTTTTGACGTTGTGGACCAGGAACTTGTGGAAGCCACTGGGCAGCATGTGTTTTGTCTTCTTGTTGCTCCCGTAACCAATGTTGGGCATTAAGATCTGGCCCTTAAATCTTCTCCGCACCCTGTTGTCAATGCCTCTGGGCTTGCGCCAGTTACGTTTAATTTTGACATAATGATCTGATTGGTGCCGGATGAACTTCTTGGTCCTCTTTTTGACAATCTTGGGCTTCATCAGGGGTCTGAGGGCAGCCATGATGCCGGTCGAAATGGCCGCCTCCTCCGTAGGCAGCGCAGAAGAGAGAGGAATTTGCAGTTTTGACCCCAGATATATGGCATCAGAATCATCTGGGAATCTTGTTACAATGTAGATACTGATTCAGAATATCTGGGATGGAAAGGCAAATTTCAGCAGGGGGCAAACCAGAATGAACTGGTTTGCCCTCACATACAGCCAAGACTACTGAAAGGTGGCAGACTGTCTGAATGGGCCGGGTCCCACAAAGAAAAGCTGCAGAAAAAAAAATGTATTCGCGCCACTGTCAGACACACAACCTTTGACAATAATTTAATTAAAAATGGTCTTTGGTCCTGAAGGACTTCCAGAGCATCTAGCAAGAGAATATGCACCTTAACCCCAACATTTCCCTGCATTAAAGTTCCTGCTAGATAAAACCCACAGCCACTGGGCTGAGTCCACTTCCCATCGAGTCTCTGAGGCTGTAAATCTTTATGGAAGCAGACTGCCTCATCTTCCTCCCAACAACCAAATTATCAGCTAGCAGCACCATATTTAACTCACCGCACTACCAGGACTTCTCTTACATGTAAGTGTTGTGGTTGTTGATATGTGCTGGTGAATCAGTTCCAACTCATAGCAACCCTGTGTAGAATTTTTTGAAGAGCAGATGTTAGATTCGAATGACCAACCTTTCAGTTACAATCCAGTGCTTATCCTACAGTAAGCCCTAATAAAAAAATATAAACACCTAGAGAAATAAGCCACCAGGAGCAGAAGTCAGCAAATATAATCAGATTTGCAATCAGATTATTGAAAACAGGATATAAAAAAATTAATATTTGTAAGATGATATAAAAGAGCAATGACTATATGCCTAAATACAAGAGACTTCCAAAAATAACCAGCTATATTTGAAAAGAGCCTATAAGAATTTGTATACAATGAAAATAAAAAAAATTAAAGTCAATGAAAAGAATAATTGAGGATAATACACTCAAAGAGGATAACTTTCACTATAAGTGAAAAAAAGCAGGTCACAAAAATTTATATAAGATGAATCCACTTATACAAAAATAAGGAAAAACTAAACAAATAATATTTAAGCATTTATAGACATGTTGTTGTTGTTAAGTGCCGTCGAGTCAGCAACCCTGTACAGGGTTTCTGAGACTGTAAACCTTTACGGGAGCAGAAAGCCTCATCTTTCTCCCGCGGAGCAGCTAGTAGTTTCAACCTGCTGACCTTAAGGTTCACAGCTCGATTCATAACCACTACGCTACCAGAGCTCCTTATTTAGAGACATAGAGTAAGTTTATTTTTAAAAAAATGAATTGAATTAAAAAAAAAAAAAATTCCTGTGCTAGAGGGTTGGACAGAAAGGAGGGGAATGTGAAAAGGGAGGGATAATGGGGGTAGGGCAGGTTTAAAGAGATCAGTACTATTCTGTTCCTTTAAGTTGGGTTGTTGTTGTTATTGTTGTTATGTGCCGTGGAGTCAGTTCTGACTCATAGCGACCCTGCATAG